AAAAAAAAAAAAAAAGAAAGAAAGAAAGAAAGAAAAAGGAGAGAAAATGATGATTTTAGAAACAACTGAAAGGTTAGGTAATAAATGTGAAAGTGGGGAAAGCACAGCCTTTGCAGTCAGAAAGGCTCAATTCAAATGGTATGTATCTTCCGTGGTTAATACCTGGGTCTTTATGGAGAAGGTTGTCTGTGTCTCTGACCCTTTTTCTCTTTTGTCAAATTGTGTATATGGCGTTTATGAAGGAGTAAGGGGGAAACAATGGTATTTGCATTGAGGTTTTGCAAAAAAAAAAAAAAAAAATTATTATGTAGGTAAAGCACCTAGCAATGGGAGTCTGGTGTATACTACATGCTCCAAAAAATGGTGATATCTTTAAATTGTCATTACAGTTGCTTTATGAAAAGTGTCCGGTCTTTATGTAATGCTGTCTTTAATTCAGAAAGTGAAAAACATGCAGTTGTATCTTACCTTGAAATTGGGAAATAATATTACCATGTGTGTTGTTGAGTAGTATAATTATGTTATAATTAACAGTGACTCATCTTTTTTTTTTTTAAAAGAATTACTTTAAGTTTATTTATTTATTTATTTTATTTTGACCAGAGAGTGACAGAGCAAGAGCGAGAGAGTGGGATGTGGGGAGGAGTGAGAAAGTAAGTCTCTAGGTCTGAGACTCGAACCATAGTCGGCCATGTGGGAGCCCAGCATCCCTAACCACCATACCATCTGCTGGCTCTGTGATTCATCAGTATTAATTAAGGACCTAAAATTTGCCTAGCAATAGGTTGGATGTAAGAAAAATATAAAGTTGGATAGGATGAACTCTTTCCTGTCATGGTTTATGACAAGCTAGTTTCATAAATAATTTTTTTAAAAAAAAGATAGCTGAAAAGAAGAAATATTTCACATATTAACAAGAAGAAATATAATTCACATTATTTGCATGTTAAACAAGGGAAATGTTATAAAGTAAAACATAGCTAACCACAGGTAGGACTTTACGAGGACTAGAAAATACTTCTCAAATCTCCTTTCTTTTCCTTCCCTCTACTGCTAAATTCTACAACAAGATTCTTTTATATGGCATAAAGTTAAATATTTGGCTAAAATGCAGGTACTTCAGGGAATGGGCATATTAAAGCATTGTCTAACATTTATGCTGTTTAATGCACTTGCCAGTCTTTCATGGAAATGTATGGGAATAAAGGAGAGTATAAAAGTAGCACAAATCCTGGATACCTCTGCAAAGGGTGGCAGGTGTCCCCAGGGAAGAGAGACATCTTGACACACTTCATTTGCCTTGGGCTTGCATTGAACAGGAGTGATTCAATGAAAGTATGTTTAGAGAACAAAAAGTTTGAACAGGAGTGATTCAATGAAAGTATGTTTTAGAAAACAAAAAGAATTCAAAGGAATTTACACAATAGATTAAATAGAGAATTGTGAGGTGACTAGTTACATTTGGAAAAATTTTTAACCTTTTGTTTATAAATGCACTGTACTTTGTCAGAAAACAGAGTAAGTCATTTGAAGCCAGCACTACAACCTGCAGTGGGAAATTTATTTAACACTGGGACATAACATACTAAACACATCACATACACACACACGCACAACAGGAACCAAGTTTGCTGGATAGCTAGGACGTGACCAATTTGAATATGCCTCACATTCGGGTATTTTCTATTTTATTCTGCTTTAATGTTGAATATGCCTCA